GCTTAGTGCGTCCTTGGGGGGGGGACGATATTTCTCAGTAGATGACCTGATTTTAAACGATATTCGTTCAAGTTCTTTGTGGTCGCTTTGTTCCAATTAAGAAAAGTCACGTGTTCACTGATCGTTTGGTCGTTATTCCTAAAATGAACTAGATCTGCCAACTCGATTGTCACGCTCATCGGAAAATGGTCGGAAGACAAGACATCGTGCATAATATTAATACTTGATAACACATTTTATTAAGTACATTCCTGTCAAGGGGTATCTGACCCAGTGGCTGTTTTTAAGAAAGTGGATATTTATTATATGAATATTATTTGTAACAGTTAATATAATCCCTGCCATAATTGTGACGCATATTTCAAAATAATTAATTTGTTGTGCGAGACATTCGCCTCATATTGATTTGTTGTTTAGAGTATATTTTTTGCAATAAATGTTATTTTCCAATGGCCTTTAAAATTGTATATTTTCATCTGTAGGTTGCGAATTATTTTGAGTGAAAATATTATACCAGTAAAATTCTTCCAAAACTAATAATATATATGTAGTCATACTAACCGCATATGCAAAACATTCACTGAAAACCGTTTGCCACGTTCTAGAAATATACACTTTGTTCCCACTGCAGCATAGTGTATACACAGAAGAAGTATTCACTTCCAACACGACATATCTGGTAAGTACATTAGTATATCACATTTAAAATAGGAAACAAACACATAACAATGTTACAACAAATAACATATATTATACAGTGAATAGTTCTCTAAAAATCACTCAGTACCAAATGCACAGACACGCTCAGAATCACTGAGCCAAATAAATTGATGATTGAATGATTCGGAATGGACACACGCTTTAGTATTCTGTTGTGTCTTTGTATGATTCTGCGTTAAACACATACACTGCATGTAAGTGAACACAAAATAAGTTATAGTACATACACTCGTAACAGTAAACGAATGAATGACATTAGTAGACATCACAATCCCTGAGTTTGTATCTATAGTATGTTTGGCATTATTATTTGCGTTACGCTAGCTGTATAGTACTGCTAGCCGAATTTAGGATACTGCTTTGAGATGCCTTTTAAGTAACGGTATCTAGTTTTATTCATGCCAACATAACATATTTCTTTCTTCTGGTTTTAATCAAGACTCACTACAAAACAGAATATATATTCCTCTATACGTGAACTGCATCCGTGTCCGATACACATTTTTTTATGATAAACAGACCTGGTTAGTTTTTATACAAATCCACAAATATTACTCTGGTAATGGAACCGTGTCGTTGCAATGGGTGCACAGTTAAGCGCAATTTAGAACCAAAATAGGCCTACTCACCTACTGTGTATTTCTAAAATTAACACGGATGCCACTCAAATTACAACTGAAAATCTGATAGGATTCCTGCGTTAAAAAGGTGCACAAGCTATGTGACATGAGAAAACTTCTGGGCGATATGATGTATACCACACCTGGGCTATTATTGCTCTGATGAGTGCGTACTTTGTTATGCATTTCTACGCCGCGATGTACTGTAAAACATGTGGAAAAAGCGGCATGCTATTTTACCGAATTGTGGTAAAATGACGTAATGGCGACATGTTGATTTAGCGAATCTCTCTTGTCATCATTGATTTCTTTGTTTGGCGGCCATTTTTAATTGATAATAAAGTCATTAGCGACATCTTGAATTAGCGAATCAGTTCTCTCGCTAAATTCGCGAAAAAGGCATGCTCGCGAAAAAGACATGTTTTGCAGTATTGTCTGAGGCTTTGTGTAAACGATATACATATCCAAGAAATTTCTCCGGACGACCTGTCGAGCGGTAGAACACAACCATGCACGAACTTAAACCAACTACCTAAATATTAATAAGCTACCCATATTTCAAATCGATCCAGCCACAAATTGTGCCTTTCATAGTATTTTTTCTGGAAATCTTACCCTACACAACATAATTAACATTTCCTCAGTTGACACTGTTATTATTAATTTGAGGGTTGTGACCTCTCGTTAGTTGGTCCATAATCGGCCACCTTTAAAATATACAGATATCCGCTGGGTCCTAACGGTACCCTGCATGCAATAGTGTTTTGGAATATGTCACATGACCGGTAGTACCATTTGCTTAGGTATGCCAGGATTGTGTTTGTTTGCCCCTCTGTGTAATCTGACAGGATAGAGTCAGTTGCCAATATATTGATATCTCACGTTGTATGTAAGCACATCTCTGTCAAGGGATAACTGTCAAGTTACCTATTTGTGCCAATTTGTTCATTGACGTTAATGCACTCATTTCGTCCGTTTTACTGGTTCGAAGGTTGATATTTTGTTATCCATTAGTAGTAAGTAAACACCATCATGCGAAGATCATGTATACAAGTTAATAAGATCGCTTGCCATATTCGGTGACGACTGACTGATTCTTGTTATTGCACATCTTTTGGTATAATGGTATATTCTAGTTGTTAACTGGAATTCAGTTGGCAATAATAAACAAGAAAATGTCGAATATGTGAACATGAGATGAGAGGCAAACCAAACATTAAATAATTACATTATTTTAATTTTAGAATAACATGATGACTATGAAGCTCACCCCCCTGTTGGTTGTCATTCTGCTGGGTACAATGGTACTGGAATGTGAATCACATGATGATGAAAATGAAAGAAATGCTTGGAAATTACATTACAATGTGCAACGAAGCGCTGGGGCGGAATTTTTGCGTCTCCCTGGAAGTCACATCCAAGAAGTAGTACGAAGTACATGGAAGGAGCTATAAAGTCATCCATATGGTTATTGAATTATGTTAATATATGTATGTTAAGTGTATGTAAGAGATGCCAGCATTAAGATTGTATATCTTCAAAATATGTATCAAGCATTAAATGTCTCATATTAGCAACAGCGTATAATGGCTCTGATGTGTGTTTGTTTGCTATTATGTTACTGGATCTTTAGACAGAACAGCCACTGCGTTTTATATGCCGTTGACTAATTGTCCAAGCTCGATAACGTATATATTTTGTTATCATTTAACAGACCACTCTATAATGAGCGGTTTCTTGTATTCGAATATCGTGCTTGAGTAGTAACCCTTCTTCTTCTGAGTGAGTATATGAACATAGTTAGAGCATATTTGAATAAATAAATCCATCATATGGCACGAGTTATTAAAACATTATATTACAACACACACCTCATACGCAAAATAACAATAGACTTTGAGGTGTGTTTTTTAATAACAACCTCCAATTCAGGCGATATTTGAAAGGAATGGGCGATATTATAGACCTGCCATACTATCGGCATGATATCGGAAATAACACTCGACTTGGTCTCGTGTCGTGTCATTACCGATATCATGCCGTGAAATGACACTCCGTTGGTACAGTCGTGATATCATCCCGTGGCGAAGCCGATTCATGAAGACTGGTCGCAGCTGTAGCACTTAGACTATGGTTTCCAACGATTCCAGCAGATCGGAATAAATCTGGCACCGCGAGTTGAATAGAATTGTGACCGATCGGCTGCTTAGTAAACATATCTTGTCGGATTATATGTATTTACGCCGGGGTTGCAGGTAGAATGCTTTTTGTTTTCCCCGGGTGGGCATAGTGATGTGTACTTATTGTACATTTTAATATGGCATTGTTGGGGGTTTTCAGCATTTGCATAATGCACTACCTCCTTTCGCCTTACTCTGTGATGCTTTAGACCACCTTGGTTGCTTTTGAACACGTCTTCCACATAATTCAAATATGGCGTTCCACCTGGTGACTCGTGTAAAGTGATTTGGGGTTGGTCAAAACGTAGAGCTCGATGTTCCATTCTGCTTCTGAGGACAAATTGTTTGCCATTTAGAAATACCATAGTGCGAACAAGAACCCGGGGAGAATAGTCTCGTAGCAGCTTCATTTTCCACAGTGACGCGGTTTGGACTGTGGTAATTACCTCAGCTTGTTTTGATCCCAACCCCAAACTGGAAAATCTTTTCATTTCTGAATCAAGCACTTGACGAAAACCCTGAAATTCTTTATCACTTCGAAAATTTAGAGGCGTTTGCAGCTCAGAACAATGGTAGTTTTGCAAACCCATGATCAAAGATAGCAATGTTTTTGAAGGATAACAATTTCCATTCACTTTGCGCACATCTAGAACAAATTTACTTAACCAATAAGCCAAGTCCACAACGGGCATTACTTTGATACAGTCATAAATTTTCACTTATTCATCAGTCGTTAATTCCAGTCAGGTGTTATTTCGTAGAATCGCCCATTCATTAAAAGTACACAGAGCCCACATGCTACGTCGCCTTGCGTTTTTTGGTATTGAATCTTTAGCGACGGCCCGTGCAGCAGAATCCGACACTGGGTCACAAAGCCGTCCACTCTGGATTTCCTGCAATATTATAAAACAAGTTACATGTGTCACACCTGTGATTTGCAACATAAAAGAGAAAAATAATTTCAATGAATACATTTATTGGTTTGTTGGACGCCACTCTATTTTAGGATTTTACGTGGTAAAGATAGAGAAATCCACGCGTGTAAAACAATAGCAGAAAACAATAGCTCTCCCTCCGGCAGCAACTCGCATACAGCAGCTCTTATTCCCAGGGTTCCACAGGGTGGGGTGGGGCAATGCAGCTTGTCAGGGCGAAAGCTCTGAAATACAAGACTACATGCAATGACACCAGTCAAAAAAACAAAGCTGGTTCCCTACGAGTGGAGTAAACACATAGCATCAAATATTACAGACTCTTCGCGTTTGATTAATTCCCACAATTACAAGTTGTTAAATTGAGAGACTAAATGTGTGGACAAATATTTTAAACTTATTTTGGTGTAGAAAAGTCGCATTTAATTAATTCCCACAATTACAAGTTGTTAAATTGAGAGACTAAATGTGTGGACAAATATTTTAGACTTATTTTGGTGTAGAAAAGTCGCATTTAATTAATTCCCACAATTACAAGTTGTTAAATTGAGAGACTAAATGTGTGGACAAATATTTTAGACTTATTTTGGTGTAGACAGTTCTCGTTTAATTATTTTACACCATTACAAGTTGTTAAATTGAGAGAATAAATGTATGTACTAATATTTGAGACTTATTTTGGTGTAAACAACTCGCGTTTGATTAATTCCCACAATTACAAGTTGTTAAATTGAGAGAATAAATGTGTGGACAAATATTTTAGACTTATTTTGGTTTAGAAAAGTCGCATTTGATAAATTCCAACAATTACAAGTTCTTAAATAATTGGGCAAATATTGACCATTATATTTATGAGTAAATACCTGTTGTTTCATTAATTTCCACCTCTACAAGGTTGTTAAATTGAGAGAATAAATGTGTCGACAAATATTTGATAATTATTTAGGTGTAAGAACTCGTGTTTGACCAACTTCTACTATTGAAAGTTGTTAAAATAACGAAATAAATATACTGGTATCATTGGATATTTGATTTAATTGTGAAACTTTCTAACAAAATGTTAACTGCTGGCTTCGAACCCTCAATCAACAATTCCGCAGATACAGTATAAATTCCACAACACCACAGAAGATATTCGTCTGTTGCCTGAGTTGTTTTCGTGATATAGGGAACGCGGCCATCGACACTTTAACAAAACTTACCTTGATTTGGGTCTTGTTTATCTCTTGTCACAATGTGGAAACTGTTGAACAAATTGCGCGTCGTCCAGTTTAAGACGTAAGTTATTTTATTATTTATTCTTTCAGTTTTGTATGGTGGAGTTTTGTAAGGTTTATTATTTTTTCGCGACGTTCTTTGTTTACTTGTTTCCGGTTTGAGAGATTTCAGTTCATTTGATTTAAGTTTTTACGGTAGCTCTGAGCGGGACTCGAACCCTCTGTCTTTTCAAGCTAATTTTGTTTTATTTTGATGGCACGCTTGTGTACCACGCCACGACGTTGGTCTTTAAGTGGTATTCATTTTTCTAACTACTCCAGTATTCCGATGAGTTGAACGGAAAAGCCAAAACGATTGCTGGCTTCTGAGTGCTTCGGTTCTGGTGAGTGTGTATCTAGTGTGATTCGAACCCATGTCCTTTGTATTGGGCGTTTATTTATTTCCCATGTTGGCTACGCCGTAATATGCAACCACTTCCCCGTTTTATTGTGATTTTGAGAGTGTTTAATGATGTCTTCCTCACCCGTCACGCCATGACCCATGACACGGCCATTTTGGAACAGAGTGCGTGACCCTCGGCGTGACCCGACTGACTATATGAACGTTCTGTTCAACTGTTAAGCTAGGATTTATTACCGTTATTATCATTATATTGTCACGTGATTTGTTTTACCTTATGTGTAATGTCTTAAGTATCTTTATTGTAATTTGTATATACCAATTCGTATATACCGAGGAAACGCCGTCGTATTTTGTGACGTCACCAATTCGTGTGTAGGTACGGCTTCTAGATCCGTGCCTCATCGTTTTCCGACGTGGTTGACTTGAGACATATCGCTGTGTACTTCCAGGGAAATAGCCGTAAAGCCCGAGTTGGTTGGTTTGGAAGTGAGTTGAAATATCGCTTTGTGGTATTCGCGAACGCAGACTTTCGGCGATTCTGTAACGAAAACGGGTTATTTGTGGTCCCAAGTGTGCGTGCTTTGTTCGGACAAAACATTGTTGACATCGTGTCGCGTGTCTTCATTGTGGATTACTTGCTGTCGCTTGCCGCGTGTTGTGCCATCATGTTGATTGCCGTCTCCATTGTTTACCTTCTTTCGCGTGTATGCGTGTGTTGGACGTTCATCAGTCGTTCCGCGTTGATGCGTACTGCTTTGTGTATCGAGAGACAATATCGCTTATTATGATAAAAGACATACATCGCCAAGAACTCTAGATAAGTGTATCACTTTATTGTTAAGTCTTTTAGTGCTTAAACCATTGTAATGAATCGTGAGCCCACCAAAGTTGTAAACCATTGCTTGGTGACATAAATTACATGTTGTATTTTTCATGTTCTTGTTGATGATTATTAGAGATAAATATAGTCTGTGCAGCTTGCCTTGAACTCAGTCGCAATTGTCATTTTATTTCGTTTTGTTCATAAAGTGGCGACCACCACGGCCGCTTTTCCGCCATGTTGTGACAAAATAATTATCTCCCTTAGCTAGTTAGAAAGCTATAGTTAATTGTATAGGAAACACACTTTAAACATTGTAATTGCAAAAGTCATTCAGCAATGCTTAAATTCTCCTTAAAAATTAAAATAATATAATAACATATCTACGATGTATTTGTATTTGTTTTATTTTATTTAAACGTTTCAAATTTATAAATGGAATATATACTGGCATGGTTTGTGCCGTATTAAATACTGATTTATTTTCGTTAGGTATTTTCTAGGCAACGCTAATAATACATACTGTATGCATATACTCGACCATTGTGCCACGTTGCAGCAGTATTCAATGTAGCTGAGCATACACACAGTAGAGACTCCACTGAAAACTATTTAGTTATTTACAAGTAACAGCTGATAAGTAAATAAATTTATAATTTACACTTAACGAAATTACAATAATGACAGAACGCATTGCTTTACATTCACAATGCTCAACAAATTGCTTCATGAAAGGCATGTTATTAGCGCGTATACATTTTGTATGTGTATTTACTTTGTTTACAAATCCCTTGCCACTAAAATACGAACAAAAGAATATTTACAATAATGGAAAACATTCCAATGTGTCATGTATTTACTTAACAGACCCAGATATTGATTATTGCATTAACACATTTCGAATAATATACATGTTCATCGAATGTCCTTGTATTACGTACACATCAAAATGACGTTTCTGTATTAAATAATATTTGCTACAACTAACAAAGTCAAGGTGAAATGTCTTACAGATGAAGCCAATCCCTAACGATTTACATTATTTCATTTACAGAAAATCACTATGAAAATGAAGCTCGCCATTTTGGTAGTTGTCATTCTGCTGGGTACAGTGCTAGTGGTATGCGGATCTGAACCTCCTCCTGAAGTACGTGTGTACAACGAAGTGCTGGGATGGAATCTGAGGGTCCCCCTCGAAGAAGATTACATCACATAGTAGCAAGAAGTGTTGGCATGGAGTCTGAGATGCCACCTCCAGGAAGATTACATAAAAGAGTGCAACGAAGTGATGGATATAATCGTTCAACCATCCCTAACATGTATTTCTGTTTGTCTGTTTGTCGCCATGCATGTATATCCATAACGATAATAAATATTTACCACATGGAAACGGATTTTAAATTTGTTCATTTCGACGTTATACTTTAACTGGCCCCAATAATACTATAAGTGCCATTTTGTGGCTAATTGATATTGTGAATGCGAAAGTAACTTATCACATAAGCCAAATTGGAAATTAATAAAAAAAACTAAAACAGGCTACCAAGCATTGGTTTGAACTATGGTGTTGTGTCGGATGGGGTAAATAACAAGTCAACCCATTTTGATCACTATGCACAACGCACACAATTATTCTTACCCTGTTTATGCATGTATGTATGTTCCTTTACATGTACAGAACCACCCCAGACTTTATTTTTAATGAAATCCCACACAAGTTGCAAGAAACGAGAGCTACAAAATATTGCAATTGAGGAAATAATGGACAGCATCCCAAGAAAAAAAAAAGCAGTTTTGTAACACACGAATGAAACAAAAACTACATAGTGCCCCAGTGAAAACAATAATTATAGTGATCGATTCAACCACAGTTTGCAAAGCTCACCTTGAATAGTCTGATAACACATCCGCCACAGTAATGCTCACCACGGGAAATCTGACAACACAGTCATCACAGTAGAGCTCACCACGGGAAATCTGACAACACAGTCATCACAGTAGAGCTCACCACGGGAAATCTGACAACACAGTCATCACAGTAATGCTCACCACGGGAAATCTGACAACACAGTCATCACAGTAGAGCTCACCACGGGAAATCTGACAACACAGTCACCACAGTAGAGCTCAATACAGGAACTCTGGCAGCACAGTCACCACAGTAGAGCTCAATACAGGAACTCTGGCAGCACAGTCACTACAGTAGAGCTCAACGCAG